GGGGGGGGGGGGGGGGAGCACACACACACACACACACGCTTTCTATATTATTATACATGATTCCTAGCAGTCTTTTGGATTAAATAATTTCCCCATATATTTCTGATGAGCAAAAACTATGGCAGTGTCCTAAATACATAACCTTAGCTCTGGAATTTTTAGTTTTCAGTGTTCTTCTATCTGTAAGTTTGAGAAATACTTCACATGTTCATCAATATTATGCATTGAGTTTGTCGCCATTTTGCTGTATATTCTTAGAATAACTTAATTAGTGGCATGTCATTTTACTTCTCTAAGCTCATTTTTCACATCTGTATTAAATGGAGGTTGTAGGTATGGGCATGAGAGATGAGAGTGTAAGTTAGAACAATTTCTAATGTCTCTTCCATTTCTAAATATTTTATGATATGGAAGCAGAATGCTTCAATGGTTCCATGACCATATTTATTTTTGGTTTTTACTGTAAGAATTTCATTAGTTATACCCATGTTGTACATGGGCTTCTGAAAGATTTAGTTATATTCTGAATCATTTAACTTGCTTGGCTATTAAACATTAAAAATTTTCCAGAAGTGTCTTTGTCAAATAAGAATTTGAATTGGCTTTCAAAGATCTGAACAAGGCTGAATATAAATGGAATTGGGCTCATTTATCAGTATCTATTCTTTTATTTTATTAGTTGAATTAATTCGTAAGCATTTGGCCCAGGGAATATGTGTAACTCTTCATTTTATTAATGATTTAGCCTTAATGCTATCTTCCTTTTAGCTTGCAATAAGTATGAAATGGTTACAGACTTTTTAGGATTTTTATCATCATCCATCTTCCATGAAATTCATAAGCGATGAAATAAATACAGCTGTCATTCTCTTCTACTTCTTTTCTGGGTGTTAGGTGAGATGACTATTTTGTTCTCTACCTAATCTAGTCGCAGTGGTGTTTGTGTTCTTAAAGCAAAAAGCCAATGAGTTACATTATGTCACCATTACTTTTATAATCAAGTGACCGGTGAAGAAAATACTGTAATAAATGTGAGGCCCTTTGAAATCCTTGTGTGAAGGGAAGCAGCCTAAGTACCATATTACTCTGGTATCTTATTGAGAAAATTGACCTATGTACATTGGTTTTGCACTTTCCATGGTAATGTTGTGTCATTTATTTAGACATCCTTGGAACAGAAGATCTTGTTGTGGAAGCGACTGCCAATGATGCCGTGAGATTTTATCCTTGGGCCATTGATAATAAGTACTATTCAGCCGATATCAATCTATGTGTAGTGCCGAACAAGTTTCTCGTCACTGCAGAGATTGCAGAATCTGTCCAAGCATTTGTGGTTTACTTTGACAGCACACAAGTAAGATTTTGTTTTCCATGACATTTTGAATAAGAAAATATCTTATGTTTTCTTTTTTTTTAACCTTGAGTTTTTTGTGAGTTCTCTTCATGTCTGTTTTTCTGCTTTTGTTTGTATGCTTGTTTTCCCTCCCTCTAGAAATCTGGTCTTGATAGTGTCTCCTCATGGCTCCCCCTGGCAGAAGCATGGTTACCTGAGGTGATGATCTTGGTCTGTGATAGAGTGTCTGAGAATGGTAAGACACGTCAATGGGGTGGGAAGTGGTAGTTTGTAAATACATTTGCCATTCTTTGGTAAACAGAATCCATTTGTTTCCTTAACTAAGAATAGTGTATCTCATGTGACTTTATTACTTTAACTAAATATCTTCAGCTATTTCTCTTTGGAATCTTGCAATATTTACTTTTCTTCTTTTTTAAATAATGGACACTTTGGATTTGAGAAATCATTTTCTTTTTATTACTTTATTTTGGGTTCCTGTAGAATAATATTGACATTAGTAGAAACACATTGAGATTTATGGATAGTATTGCAGCAATATTCATATTTTTATTTTAAATTTTTAAAATTTATTGATTTGAGGGGGGGGGGAACATCAATTTTGTTGTTACACTTATGTATTTATTGGTTGATTCTTGTATGTGCCCTGACTGGGGATTGAACCTGCAACCATGGTGTATGTGAATGATGCTCTAACCAACTGCCCTACCCAACTAGGGCTCATATTTTATTTTTACATATAAATATATTTGTTTGCATATTATTTTAGGTGTAAACCGACAAAAAGCTCAAGAATGGTGTATAAAACATGGCTTTGAACTGGTAGAACTTAGTCCAGAAGAATTGCCTGAGGAGGATGGTAAGTGTTTATGTCTTGAGAAAATGTGGAATTTGGATTGAGATATAAGATTATTTAATTCTTGAAAGAAGAATCACAGTGAAATTAAACCCCCCCCCCCC